TTTTACTATAACATATTTTTAATTTAAAAATTTAATTGTCATATTAATCAATTTAAATATACGAATCTCAGTTAATCAAATTTTAATTGTGAATAATTTGCCAATTCAGCTGTCAGTAAAATTCACTTTCGAAAGCAAATTATCGAGAAATACATTACAAATCTTTTACAGAAGCAGCAGCAGTAATAGCAGCAGCAGCAGCAGTAGTCGTAGTAGTAAAATTAATAAAAATAATGTTAACAAAATAAATTTCACTAAAAGCAGTAAAAATATCAACACCACTACATTCTAATTGAAATAGTAGTAAAAGCATCAGAAGCAGCAGCAGCAGCAGCGGCAGAAGTAGTAAAATCGTCGCCACCAATAGTTCCGTTACTCCATGGTAGGTTATGTAGATCGAAAATCACATCTCCCAGCGTGTTCATAAGAGCCGTCAGGATCAGCAGACTGATTACTTTAAGTCCGAAGCCTACTTTTAGCTGGTGGGCGGGGTTAAATTATGTTAATTAGTTGAGCCTATGTTAATTAGTTGAGCCTATGTTAATTAGTTGAGTCTATGTTAATAAATACGGGCTAGATTATGTTAATTTGTAGGGTTGTTTCATGTTGACTTGCACAGGCCTTTAACGTTTTGATGAATGCAAATCATCGACTGCTCACCACCACCATCATCACCATCATCGTCATCATCGTCACAATCACCACCACCATCATCATCATTACAATCACCAACTTCATCATCATCACAATCACCACCATCATCATAATCATCATCGTCATCATCATCATCACCGTCATCATCATCATCATCATCACAATTGTCATCATCATCATCCTAACTAAATCAACGACAGTTAAGTGTCCGTAGGCGAATACAATGGCGTTAGATGGAGCTGCTATCGGCAACATGTAGGCATAAGAAGCCGCTACACCGGACGGGAAGACGAAGTACAAGGGGTTCACGTTGAAATGTTCAGCCTGCATGTGTGCGTGTGTATGTGTGTGTGAGTGTGTGTGTGTGAATATCTGTCTATCTGTGTGTGTGTGTGTGTGTCTATTTGTGTGTGTATCTGTCTATTTGTGTGTGTGTGTCTGTCTATCTGTATGTGTGTTTTTGTCATCTGTGTGTGTGTGCGTGTGTATTTTACATATGAATTTGAAAAAAGATAAACTTACACACGCGGGCAAACAAACACACACACAAACCATCGCAATGAAAATCGGGGAGAATATCGCCATTACGGTGACGTTGGTCATAATTTCAGTGACGAAGGACACGATGACTGTCAGTAAGAAGGACATGATCCATGGGTCTAGGCCAGATAATTCTTCCAACTTGTGGGCTAGTAACTTTGATAGGCCTGAAACCTATATGTGTAGTATATGTGTGTGTATGTGTTGTTTTATAAGAGAGAGAGAGAGAGAGAGAGAGAGAGAGAGAGAGAGAGAAAGAGTGAGAAAGAGAAATAAAAAGTGAATATACACACCGCCGTCTATGTATGTGTGAGTGCGTGCGGGCGTGTGAGAGAGATTTTTTGACCATAAAAATTTTCCACGTTCATCATCGTTATCATTATCCTCGCCATCATCATCATCACCATCACTATCATAACCACCACGATAATCACTATCAATACCTCGCAGCCCTCGGCCAGGACGAAACCACCCCCTATCAAAATTATAGGTCCCCACGGCAACTTCTCGCTCACCGTCTCCCAGTTCAAAATGGCAGGCCTTATTTTGGCTGGAGAAAAATTTATGGATTTAATTATAGTTTAATGATAATAATAATAAGTAATAGTGATGATAATAAATAATAATTTAATAATATAATAATAATATAATAATAAATAGTAATAATGATAATGAAATGACGAAGAAGAATTAATAATAACTTTCCTCACTGCCATCCGACCTCCAACAAATGAAATCCGGCTTCTCTAGAGGAAGTACGAACAGCAACAACGTAATTAGCATGGGCGGGAAGGAGTCAGATAGATAACTGGTGATGATGACGATGAAGAAGAAGATGAGACGATGATGATGATGATGACGACGTTGATGATGACGATGATGATGATGATGACGTTGATGATGATGATAGCGACGATAAGGATGGCGATGACGACTATTGTAATAATGATAATAATAATAAACAATAATAATAATAAATAATAATAAGGCCCACCCGTCTTTAAAAAACTTTGAATAGCCGGGCATGAAACCTGGATCCCTGAATATCCACAATACGACCAGCAACACCATCAGCATTATGACTGTTATTTCACCGAAACTGCAAATTATTATTATTATTATTGCTATAATACTAATAATAATAATAACGATAATAATTATTATTATTATTTGTTGTTGCTGTTGTTGTTGTTACTTTAGCGGTCCTAGCTTCGCGTACTCTTCCTTCAGGATCTCTCTCACAGCGTTCTCTTCATTTTTTGAATCCCTCTCCTCCCAAGTTGGACAGATCTTTCTGGCTAACTTGCCAGGGATTAATGATCTGGATGTTAAAACAACAACAACCGTCAAAACTCACACACACACAGTGACACACACATACAAAGCACACACACATCGACACAAACAAACACACAGAGAGACACTCAAATACAAAGCACACACACAGACACACACAAACACACAGACAGACACACACACACATACACACAGCGAGACACGCACATACAAAGCACACACATACAAACAAATACATACAGACCTCCATCCAATGAAATACAGTTGAAGTATCAACCAGAGTATCAGCAAACTTATCAAAACGTGCGGCACACCGAATAGAAGCCAGTTGGCGTATGATATGGGATTCTTCAGACCGTGTGACTCGTACAGCCTTAAAGGAAAAACAAAATATTCTTCTTTATGTTTATAAAAATAAAATAATAAAAAATATATTAATATAATAAAATATAATAAAACATAATTTTTTACGTACACACACACACACGCGCGCGCAGACAAAACAAATATTATTTAAAAACAATAACGCACCGACACACGTACATACACACACACACGCGCACACACATACACACACACATATACAAAAAGAAACATTACGTTCCAATTTCTTCTGCAACCAACAAATTTGTAGTAGAACCAGTTAAAGTCCCTGTACCTCCAACTAGCGAACCAAAAGCAATCGCTATACACAGCATCTTTGCAAAATTTTTCGTCTGCTTCTCAGTAGCCTCCTTCGTTGAATTCGATCTCTTCAGTTTCGGTTTTTCAATTATCGATAGTCGAATATTCGTGTCGGTATTCTGAGAGGGGGAATTCGTCGGCGGTCTATTCGCTTCGATCGGTGAAGTCGGTATTTCGAATATTTTGGCAGATGGGGTTGAGGTTGTGACTGTTTGTCCATTTAGCGACTTTGAGGCAGAAATGGGTTGAATTTCTATAACGCTATCACTTCCCGGATTGAAATTTTTATTTTCATTTGAAGATCCAGTAGTGAAATTTGTGATGTAAGTAGCGTTAGAGGCTGCTGCATCGGCTACACCGGCACTTGCAGACAGAACAACATTAGTAGTAAGACCAAGAGAGATATTTTGCTTGTTTTTATTTTTTCTCCTCGCTTTCCGTCTTTCATACTCATCCATATCTGAGAAACTTTTCGACCTCGTCTTACTCTCACTCCACTCTCTGGCAGTCTTCGCTGCACTCCTTTCGTCCCAAACCCCCCATTCCTTCCACACCCAATCACTGTGAACCACGTCACTCTTTGCCCTCTCCCTTTGTTTCCTTCTTCTTACTCCTGAAGTAACTTCCCCATCGTCATCGTCTTCGTCGTCGTCGTCGAAGTTTCCAGAGACGCCTCTGCGGTACTGCTCGATGACTGCCTCAACGGCCGGCACCATCATCGAAGTTGTCGCCGTGTTGCTGATCCACATCGATAGGAAGCAGGTTGGCAGCAGGAAGCCAATCAGGATCCTGTTGAGTAGTTTTGTGGGCGGGGTTATGTTAATCAGCTAGCCGAGATTTTCAGTCTTTCATTCGACAAATATTTTCCAAAACAAAAAAATAAATAAAACCAACAGGACCTGGCGGGAGTCGAACCGACGACCAGCAAAACGCCAGTCCCAATTCTGTTGTGCAAGTTCACTCGCTCTATGGCTAGAGCTATCATGAAGCCCCCAAGAAATATCATCGTTGTATCCTGTTCGGAGAGAGAGGGAGAGAAAGAGAAAGGGAGAGAAAGAGAAAAAGGGAAAGAGAGAGAGAGAAAGGGAGAGAGAGAAAAGGAGAGAGAGAGACGAGAGGAAGTGCATATAATCTTTGAGGCAATTAAACACTAAAACGATGCATTTATTTATGTAGATGTTTTGAAAAAATGCTCCATACTTATGTATATCAGAATAAAATGCATTTTCGTGAAAATACAATCCATCTACATTGCAAACATACAACATATTATACAATACAAACAAACACGCCCAACAACAAAAACAACTTCGTCAATATCACAACAGCCACAACAACTCCACAACCATCAACAACAACAAAGTCACCGACAAACCTGGAAGAATAGCATGGCAACCTTAGAAGCACCCATGAGACCAAGGAATGGGAAGAAAAAAACTGGAATGAGTGCCGTTACAGGAAGTGGGAATAGCTCCAGAATCCAGTAGAGTGCCATTACGCTTATGGCGTATCCACATTTGGCCTCCTAAATTTGTTGTTGTTGGGATGATGGAGATGACGTTTTTGTTGTTGTTGTTGGGATGATGATGATGACGGTTTTATTGTTGTTGGGATGATGGTGACGTTGAGTTGATGTCGACTGTGTAGTTGTGGTAACATTTATCATGAAAATCAACAACCGCCAAAAAAAATGTCAGAAGTGTAACATTAACTATCTTGAAACCATCATCACAAACAATAAAATGAAGTCGCCAACAGCAAAGACAACAAAATTGACGTCACCATCAGCAGAAACCACCTCACAAGCGCCACCATCAAGAACAACAACATCAACAACCAACAACAACAACTCACATCAGTAACATCAACAACAACAACTCACATCAGTATTTGAAATGATAACCAAAGGAGATAGGACGACTGGAATGATGACGATGAAGAAAGTCTTCCAAAAAACTTTAATATCCTTCAATATGGTAATCAGTAAACCCTTCATGACTAGTATTTTTACCTTCACTACTACTGCTACCACTACTGCTACTTCGACCACTACTGCTACTTCTACTGCAGCTACCACTGCTACTACCAGAACTACAACTACTTTAACTACACCAGTGGCTGTTTTACTGTTGTTGTGATCTTGTTATAGATGACTTTAAAACTTTCAGCCCAAGGCATAACGTACAATATGTGAATGCAACTTTTGAGAAAATAAAATGAAACGGCGAAATTGAATAGATTATAAGGTTAATAACATTATTATTATAACTAAATTCCACACGTCTTTCTTATTAGGTTCAAGTGTATTTTGGCCGTAGAACCTATTTATACACGCCAAAACACACAGACACACACACACAGACGCACACACAACACACACACACACTAATATATATAATATTAGAGTTTGCATTACACATGTGTGTGTGTGTGTGTGTATATTGACAATGCATGTTGTATGTATATGTGTGTGTTTGTTTGTATGTGTGTGTGTGTGTGTGTGTGTGTGTGTGTGTGTGTGTGTGTGTGTGTGTGTGTTTCTATGTATGGGTGTTTAAAGCGTTGAAAATCAGATTAGGAAGAAGTGGATTGTTCTCAAGTTTAGAGTTAAAGCGAAACGCCTAAATTAAATTTAATCGAAGTTGAATTTTGTCTACTATGATGATGATGATGAAGAAGACGATGATGAAGAATATGATGATGATGAAGATGATGATAATAAAGAAGATGATGATGATAATGATTTCACTACTAATAAATACTTCTTCTTCATCTTATCAGCTACCTTTGATGAATGAGAAGTTTAGTTAAAATAATAAAATTATGATGATGATAAAGATGATAATGTACACACAAACAAACACGCACACATACACGTACATATACACAGAGAGAGGAGAAAGAGAGAGAGAGAGAGGGAGAGAGAGAGAGAGAGAGAGAGAGATTTCTTGAGCAAATATTTTTAGAATTTCCTTAGACCTTATTGAAAATTTGAACAATTAATAAAGATGACATCAAAAACAACAACAACAACAACAACAACAACAACAACAACAACAACAACAACAACAACAACAACAACAATAACAACAACAACAACAATAATAACAATAACGATAAGAATAATAATAATTACAAGGTTAATATAATAGTTCGTAATTTTCAAGTGTTTGCATGCTTCTGTGTTTGTTTGTACGTATGTATGTATGTATGTATGTATGTATGTGTGTGTGTGTGTGTGTGTGTGTGTGTGTGTGTGTGTGTGTGTGTGTGTGTGTGTGTGTGTGCGATTGTTTGTTTGTACAAAAATGGCAAGAGATTAAATAAATGTTTTTAAATTGAGTGTTTTATATTTGTTGAACGCTACACGCATGCACGCATGAATGAATGGATGAATGAATGAATGAATGAATGAATGGATGAATGAATGAATGGATGAATGAATGAATGAATGGATGAATGAATGAACGAACGAACGAACAAACGAACGAACGATTGAATGAACGAACGAACGAACGAACGAACGAACGAACGGAGAAGAAACAAATTAACTTCATGCTACATGCATGGCTTATGAAAGTTTAATGATGTGTATTCAAATGACTGTAAAACAAAAAAAATTATCCATTAAAACAATTGGCCATATCAAAATATAATATAAATAATAATAAATTGTGTTAAATTGTGTGAGGTAGAGAGAGAGAGAGAGAGAAGAGAGAAAGAGAGAAAGAGGGAGAGAGAGGGAGTGTAATAAGAAAAGATAAATTAAGACAGTTCGCCTGTAGGACCAGGAATGCCATCAAAAATGTTTTCTACCAGGATGTTGTTTCTAATTTTATTGGTGCAGTATTTTACATCATCGTCCTCATGGTATGTGACGTCATATCAGGCAATCAATACGTCACCATCGTCAGAGAACACTTCAACAAGTGCGTCAGTAGCAGCAGTAGTCGCGAATCCTTCCTCTTGCTACCAACAACTACAAATTGACACATACAGATCTTCAGCAACAAATAACAACAACAGCATCAACAACAAAAACAACAACAACATCAACAACAACGACAACAACAACAACAACATCAGCTATTGCTCAATTGAGAAGGCAGCAACATTCTTCAACTACACTTACTTTTCAATCAGTGGAAAAATGGGAGATGAACGAGCAGCTTCGATATCGGTATGTGCCTACCTGTGCCGGAATAATCGGTCGGATCAAGATTGTTGTATCGGATTCAACGTAAGATTCGATTCTAAGATGTGCGAGCTTTACCGAAGTTCACCGGTTTACTTCACTCAACAATACAAGTGCGTCTATTACACGGTACGGGGATATTTTTTTTCTTCAAATAATAAATTTTATAATTAATTAATTAATCAATTAAATTGATCAAATTGACAGCTTAAGAGAGCCAATAGCAGCAGTAGCAACAATAGTAATGTGGTAGTTCTACCTACCTACCCCTATAAATTTCTTCTTCAAGATCCAAGTAACTAATAAAAAACTATTATTACAATTATTATTATTAATTAGATAATTAATTAACTAATTAAATAATTAATTAATTAATTAATTAGTAACAATTTCTTATGCAGTGCCTCCACCATCATTCGCAAACTCAACCTCCAAAGTTCTCTCCTTCCTAATCCAATTAAGAGTCAACCTATCGACATTAGCCTACAACAAGAGCTGGACCCAATTCAAAGTCGGGTTTTCGGTACCGAGTACGTCGGTATCGTCGAGTACCGCATCGAATACCGGCGGGTATTGTGGCGGGAGAACGTGGGAGGCCTACTGGCTGGGGAATGAACTGCTGCACCAGCTAACTAACAAGTATAAGTGCGGTGTCTACATGTATCTCACCGTTAATAACTGTGGGTATTTTTTTATTATTCATGATTATTAATTATTTCCATAAATATAATAATTATTGTTGTATAATTTATATTATTATTATTTTCAACTTCATTGACTCAGCCGGAAGGCCAGAGATGCAACATTCATTCTTTGATCAATTCGTAATCGGTTCCGAAAACTCGAGTTACAAAATATCCGACCTCAATTACGTCACCGGAAACTCTTCGACCTACCAGGCTTGGAATGTCAGGCTGGGAACGGAATTTTCCACTTTTGATAATGACAGACATGTTGATCCTAGTGTCAACTGCGCTTTCGTTTATAGCGCTGGTGAGTTTTTGGCTGGCTGATTGATTGGTTGGTCGGCTGGCTGATTGATTGGTTGGTCGGCTGGCTGATTGATTGGTTGGTCGGCTGGCTGATTGATTGGTCGGTTGATTGATTAATCGATCGGTCGGTTGGTCGGTTGGTTGGTTAGTTGATTGGTTGATTAGTTAGTTAGGTCATTCATCATCGTCGTCGTCATTAAAAAATTTTGTCACCAAACAGGGTGGTGGTATGCGAGGTACAGGGCAGATCTGGGAAAATGCGCCTACACGAACTTCAACACGCACATCCCTTACTTCATGACGTCATATTTAGACGTCACGTACAAGTTATTCAGCTCGCAAATGTGGCTACAGTGTGTCGTTTAAATAAAAGGTTGTTGCGTGCGTGCGTGTGTGCGCGCGTGTGTTCGTGTGTGTGTGCATGTGTGTGCGTGTGTGTGTTTGTTTGTTTTGTTGGTTTCCTAGTAACCATATAGACGACTATTTTTAATTATTTTTTTTCAAACTATTTTGCAAAACAGAAAAAAGCAGAGAAGCATTTTTTATTATAGTTCGTCAGAATGTTTTCAGCATCTTGTGATGCTTATTAAAATTTCATCGCCTGTCTGTAATTTTTCATTGTTAACCATTTTTCTGGCTATTCGCAAACATTCATTCATTCATTCGTTTCATTCATTTGTTCATTCATTCGTTCGTTCATTCATTCATTCATTCATTCATTCATTCATTCATTCATTCATTCATTCATTCATTCATTCACGCTTTCATATTCAAATTATACAGTTAACATTTATCAACAATACGTTGTCATCAGATATTTTTTCAATTTTTAGAATCTATTGATATATATGTGTGCGTGTGTATGCGAGCGTGAGTATGTGTGTGTGTGTGTGTGTGTGTTTGTGTGTGTGTTTGTGTGTGTGTTTGTACTATAAACATCTACACGAAGTTTTATGCTCAACGAAAAATTTTGTTGAAAAAGTGGCAGAAACAGAGTTGCGTTCATGAATAATCCAGATATCATGTTGGGACTTGGGTTAAAAAATCGATACACACACCACACACACACATACGCACGTACGCACGCACACACACATAGACACACACACACACATATATATATATATATATATATATTTGTTTGTGCGTGCGTGTGTGTGTGGTGTGTATTTGCCATAGATGTATCCATGGTATTTGCACAAATAACGCATGTAAAGTGATGTACGTAATATAAAAATGACTATTTAAGATTTGTACTTCTCAGTGTTTTCTCTCTCTTGCCTGTTGCTAATAATTTTTTCCTCGCTTACGTATTTTCATAATTTCAACCATAGTTTAATAACTTTGGTGTAGTTTTTGGAGTTTAAAATCAAATAAAACGGAGATGAATTTGTTAAAGTTGGCTCTTGTCTCCTTACATCATTACTTCTTCCTGGACATCATCATCCAATCTCACTCCATAGAACAACTCATAAACTCCTCCAGACCCAATGCCAGCTACCAGAAGCTGGTAATAAATAGCATCAGCAAGATGAATGTGAGTGCCTGCTGTGTTGCAAATCCTTTCAAAGTCTTCAACATTGCTGACCTGATCTACTCAACTGACTTCAGTAAGAAGCAAAGAAATGGCATCAGTAATTTGACGTCTGCGGTGTTGGCATGTTCGTGCTTTTGCCGCTACGTGCCCTCCTGTCTGGGTTTCAATGTGAGGTTCGACTCGAGGAGGTGCGAGTTGTTTTCGGAGCCTCAGCCGAAATTTTTTACTCAGCAGTATGCCTGCATTTACTACGGGGTTCGTATGCCTCTCACTGACGTTTCTTTCCTATCTTATGCGTTCAATTTGTAATTAGGTGCAAATTTTATTTATCTGCAGCGGTGTCCACAAACTCACAAGTTCACACACACACAAACACACACACACGTTAGCGTATATACTCTGCCAACCAATAGAGTTGTGTTTCATGTTTTTAAACTTAATTTTGTTCACGGTATAACTGAAAGTTTAAAAATACTCAATGAACTAAATAATAACCGCAGCTCAAACCAGTGAAAAGAGATGCCATCACCGTGTTGCCCACCTATCCTTACCAACATCTGCTTCAGAAGCCAGGTGAGAATGCATTCCACCGTTCATTCGCTTTCGAAAATCATTCTAAACATCTGTAAACTTCAATAAAATTTATCAGTTTATATATGTTGTAAATAATTAAGGTGCTTGTTTAACACCGAAGTCAAAACACTATGTGAGAGTAATTTAAAATTTTTTACAAAAAATAGAAAATTTCTGCTAATAACCTTATCCTTCATAACAAGACCTTCCATCTGTAACCACAAAAACACCTCCAATTTTGGTCCAATTGAAAGTCAAACCGGATTTTGTAGCTTTCAACAAAAGTTGGTCCGAATTTAAATTTGGGTTTTCGAAGGCAGAGAGTTCAGATGCAGCAGCTGATGGTGGCTACTGCAAAGGACGATCGTGGGATGCTTATTGGTTGGGTAATGAGCTGATGAACCAGCTGACGAACCAATACACCTGCTCTCTTTCAGTGTATCTCAGCGTCAACTACAGTTAGTACATGCAAATAAATTTGTTCTTGTGTACATTTTCAGTCTTTTATCTGTTGATTTCGCATCTTAAATCCAAGTTTAATGAGTTAAAAATATATTATTTTTAAAATATAAAATCATTCAATTTGCAATTATGCTATGCTATGAGGATTTTTAATTTTTTTTTACACATACTCATGAAAAAATGAAGTATATTTAAAGCAAACTCACCTTTTTATAACCATTAAATTACTATCAGCCGGAGAGATTTTTCCTCTAAACTACAGTTTCAATCTATTCAAAGTAGCCAATGAAAATAGTAGGTACAAATTGATGAGTTCAATTTATTTGCAAACTCCGAGGTTCAATTATCCTTTCATCTTAACTTCAACTGCCTTCTCAACGTATGACAGCGATGATGAAAACAAGTGTGCCTCTAAATCCAACGCAGGTTTGTCAAAAACATTTTCTCGGTCCCTCATCTGATTATTATCAACACTGTCGTCAGCATTAGCATATGATCATTTGCTTTATATATTATTAAAATTGAATATTTAATAGGTTGGTGGTATGGGTATTCTTGCGACCTCAACCAAACCAACTTCAACAGTCAAACTCCTAAATTCAAAGCATGTAATGTTGAAGCGACTGTTTGTGGGCTGCTAACAAGAGCACAGATTTGGATGAAGTGCTATTGAAAACATTCCAGCATGCACCTATAATGATATGATAACATTTTCGCGCATATCTTTGCGCATGTGTGCATGATCTCTGCGTATTAACCGCACGGAACGTAATGCAAACTAAATGACAAATGATTTGGGAAACAAATTCTACATATATCATATCTTAAAAGTTCGATTTTATGAGTTTTATGCTCTCAAAAAGAAACTTTTTTATTCTGTAAAATGTGTTTGCGTGTAATAGATTGCCCTAGAACGAAAGAAAGGACGTTCCGTTGTATGTATTGTAGTGATGTTTGTGTGTAAATGTGCGTATTTGTATGCGTGCGTGAATGTGTGGGTTTGTTTGTATGTGTGAATGTGTGGATTTGTTTGTATGTGTGAATGTGTGCGTGAATGTGTGTGTAAAGGTAAACGCGTGAGCGAACGTAAAAAATCTTACCTCATCTGAGGAGCTCCAACTCCAACCACCATCATTGTGACGTTTTAAAAATCTCATTTTAAGTTTTGTGGATTGCCTATACACACGGCCTTGGCTCTGAGTTTTATGTCATTTATCATTAAATTGATCTCGAATTTTGGTTTAATAAAATTGAAATATAGGTATGGCTGTGTGTGCCGTGCATTTGTGTGGTGTATGTTTATGTGTGTGTGTGTATTTGTGTGGTGTATGTATGTGGTTTGTGTTTGTATTGTATATTTGTATGTTTGTGTATGTGTGTGTGTGTGTGTGTGTGTGTGTGTGTTTGTGTGTGTGTAAATATAGGTGTGTATTCTTATTCGAATGTAAAATAGTACATTTATCTAATTAATATTAGTATAGTGTTAAAGAAATTTAAAGAATGTGTTCTTTGTTTGTATATAAGTTCACATTTAATCAAAATATGTAAGCAAATGTCTTTCTTGCTTCACCACACAAGTGAGTGTTTTCGTTTTTGGTTGATTTTCAGTTGAAAAAATGTCTTTATTGTAATTATTCTAAATGGTTTTATTAATTAATTACTTAATTAATTTACTTATTTGTTTGTTACTAATTTATTTGTTTAATTATCTAATTTATTAATTTGTTTATTCATTAATTTTATATAATTATTTGACATTAGCATATTATTATTAATTAATGACAATTATTCATCCATTCATTTGTATATTATATCCATTCATTCATTCATCCATACAATCAATCACTCATCCATCTTGATCATCTATTCATTCATTCATTCAGGACAGGTTTTGCCATTGCTCTACCGAAAAAATTTTTTGATAAAATTCACATCAACCTCTTCTACTACAGTAGCAACCACATCAAAAAACCATATCAGCAACAAAATGAATCAGCAACAACAACAACCAGGATGCAATCCCGTCGACAGCGTCAGTGAAAATAGCACCAAAAGATTAAAAGTGGACCCCACAACTAACAGCAACACCAACGTACAATTCCCTAATTGTCAAACTACAGCTAAGTTAGGCAACGTTAGTGATGTTAGTAAAAGTAAAATGATTGGCACCCACAATGGAACCTTCCACTGTGATGATGTTTTTGCCTGCTACATGCTGAAACAACTTGATCAGTATAAAGATGCCTGTATAATTAGGTAACTTGTTATCATAATTTATGTCATTTAACTGAAGATTATGCAAATAAATTAGTAAATTATTTGTTTATTCATCATTATCAGGACAAGAGATTCAGTCAAATTAGATGAATGTGACATTGTTGTCGATGTGGGGGGCGTTTTTGATAGTGCCAAATTGAGATTTGATCATCATCAGAGGTACATTTTTTGAAATTATGATAATAATAATAATTATTATTATTATAATTATTTGCATTTTTTTTATTATTACAGATCATTCAATGAATCCCTATCGACCATAAACCCTAGCAAAAAATGGAAGACAAAACTTAGCAGTGCTGGTTTGATTTATGCTAAATTTGGCCTACAAGTTATAAATAGCATCATTAATAAACATAAGCTAATTAATATTCATGAAGAAGAAAATTCCGTCTGTGGAACTGGTAATGATACTTTTGGTAGTGGCGGTGATGATAATGATGGGGATAAATTAGAAATTTTTTATGATCTTTTGTATGAGTCGTTCGTTGAGGCCATAGATGCTATTGATAATGGGATCAATGTTTCTGAAGGACCTGCAAGGTGGGCTGGTTGGTTGATTGGTTGGTTGGTTGAATGAATGAATGATTGATTGAATAAATTGCTTGATGCATCATGCATGCATTCATTCATTTTCTCATTCTTTCAATCATTCATTCTACCCAACAACAGATACACCATCAGTACTGATCTAAGCTCTAGAGTTTCATATCTCAACACGAATTGGTGCGACCCGGATGGACAGAAGGAAGAAGTTATTTACGTTAGCGAATGAATGAAATGATGATGATGATGATGAAGATGATGATGATGGTGATCGAATTTATATTCATTATTATAGTAGTAACTACATCAGTTATAATCATATTCATATTTTAAATCATTTCTCCTCACATTCACTCTTACATTCATTCACTCCTTCGTTTTATTTATTTACTCATTATATAATTCATTCACTCATTCATTCATTCATTTATTCACTCTTACATTCATTCATTCATTTACTCCTTCGTTTTATTTATTTACTCATTCTATAATTCACTCACTCATTCATTCATTCATTCACTCATTCATTTTATTTCATTACTCATTCTATAATTCACTCATTCATTCACTCATTCATTCATTCATTCACTCATTCATTCATTCGTTCATTCAGAAACAGTTTGAGAAAGCAATGGCTATGGTTGGTAGTGAGTTCGACGATAGGATCACCTACTTGAATGGTGTGTGGTGGCCAGCTAGGATGATTGTTAAGAAGGCTTTGGAAGAAAGGTTTCAAGTTAGTTGATTGGTCATCAATCTATCTATCTATCTATCTCTCTATCTATCTATCTATCTATCTATCTATCTATCTATCTATCTATCTATCTATCTATCTATCTATCTATCTATCTATCTATCTATCTATCTATCTATCTATCTATCTATCTATCTATCTATCTATCTATCTATCTATCTATCTATCTATCTATCTATCTATCTATCTATCTATCTATCTATCTATCTATCTATCTATCTATCTATCTATCTATCGTAATCGAATGCAGCCAATCAATCAATCAATAAATCAATCAATCAATCAACCAATCACCATCAAACATACAATTGCCATCAACCAATCATAGTTGTTTAACTTAATAATCAACAACGAATCATCATTAAACAAACAATTGCTATCACCCAATCATAGTCGATTAACTTATTAATCAACTAATCATCATTCATTACAACAAACCGACCAATCACAACAACTGTACAATTGCAATCAGCCAATCACAATAATTCGCTGAATTAATCAACCAATCAGATTCATCCGAGTGGCGAGATAATGATGTTTGGTGATGGTTCCTGTCCGTGGAAGGATCATTTGAGAATGTTGGAACAGGAAGAGGAAATGGATGAAGACGGACTAAAAGATAGTAAATATACAACGATCTTAATAATGATAACCATTCAATCAATCAACCATCATAATCATTCAATCAACCAACCAATCATAATCAGTCATCCAATCATAATTAACCAATCAGTTACCAACCAGCCAATCATAATCGGCCAACCATTCTCTGCAATAGCCAATTGCAGTCAAGTCAATCTACAAACACATCTGACGGATTTCAATCATTCAATTAATCAGTTTTTTAACTAACTGCCAATCAGTTAATCGATCGATCGATTAATTGATTGATTGAATTATGACGATTAATAATGATTGAGATAATTATAAATTTATTAAAAACAGAAAGTAACAGTGCGTCCAGATTAGTTAAGTATGTCCTCTACCCTGATCTGAATGGTTCTTGGAGGATCCAATGCGTACCTTTGTCTAGGAATTCATTCGACAATCGGTGGAGTGATTGAATGAATGAATGAATGAATGAATGGATGGATGGATGAATGGATGGATGTTTGAATAAGCAAATAGTTAAAAGAATGAATGAATGACAGAATGAACGAATGATATACTCATTGATTTTATAATTTCATTCATCTACTTTGTCAGTCTCTCACTACCAAAATCATGGCGGGGACTGCGAGATGAGGAGTTATCAAAGATCACAAATATTGCCGGATGTATTTTTGTGCACGCTTCCGGTTTTATTGGCGGGAACAAAACTCAAGATGGCGTCCGAAAGATGGCGGAAGAGGCGCTGAAGGCAAGGGATGATGAAGAGAAAGAAAAGTTGACGATAAAAGGATAAATGAATGAATGAATTTATTGGCTGATATTAAACTAAAAAAAATCATGATTGATTGATCGATTGGTGTTCATGGATCCAACAATCAATCCGATTGTTGGATCGACTGAAAAATGACCTTATAATATTTTATAAATAAAAGATAATAATATCAATAAAATAATAATAATAATAGTTTTTTTATTATTCCTCTTGTTTAATAAATAATAAAACAATATCAAATCTCGCCTATAGCGATAACATCTCTTTTTGTTGGCGGGAAAATGACGCAATCCTATTGGCTGTCATTGGGTGTGTTTGTCTGTGTGTGTGTGTGTGTGTGTGTGTGTGTGTGTGTGTGTGTGTGTGTGTGTGTAAAATTCGTCTATCACTTTCTCTTCATTCATTCTTACTAGATCACTTTTTCATCGATGATAACTGATTTCGAGTCATTCATTCATTCATTCGCTTATTCATTCAACCATTCATTCATTCATTTATTTCCTTCTTTCATTCCTTCAAATCATCCTTTCATTTATCCATTTTATCAGTCGTTCTCATCTCCCATATATGCCTCCCAACCTGCTTGTATCCGCTCCGTCTTACAACATACTTAATTTGTGCGTATGTATGTGCGTGTGTATGTGTGATTGTGTCTGTAGTGTGATTGTGTGAGTGTATGTGTGTGTATGCTAATTGATTTTATTGATGATGTTTTGTCAAAGATATCAATCAGTGATGGATTACTCTTACATGTGTGTTGTGTGTGTGTATGTGTATGCTTGTAATTGTGTTATTGGTTGCTCATTCATTCACTTGTGCATTCATTCGCTCATTCGTTCGTTCGTTCGTTCAATCGTTCATTCATCTCTTTCCTAACGAACCTATCCTTCGCCAATCAGAAGCGAGGATGAAAAATTCCTGCCAATTATTAAAAATAATAATAATATCAAATAATAATAATAACTATTATTTTTATTATTGTTGTTGATATTATTATTATTATCTCAAAAACAAATAAGGAGCATTATCAATTGCAGCGAAAAACGCAGCAAAAAAATCAAAAAAAAGCTTTCTTATTGGAGACATTTTGAACCGGAAAAGGTTATCTAAACCCGCCATCTTGCAAAATGGCTACGTTAAACAAAATGGCGACACCAATATGTATGCATTTTTATATCTATATAAATATATACATATATGTATGTATGTAGGTATGTATGTATGTATGTATGTATGTATGTATGTATGTATGTATGTATGTATGTATGTATGTATGTATGTATGTATGTATGTATGTATGTTGTGTGTGTATGTTTGAATTATGATTAATCAATCAAAGCAATTATGATGTTTTATATTGAAGTATTGGAAGACTGCTGTTGTTGTTGGTGTTGTTGTTTTTTATGATGATGCGTGCATGCATACAAACATACTTACATACATAAATGTTGATACATACATACATACACAAACATACATACATACAAACATACATATATACGTTCATACATATATACAGACACAAACATACACACGTACATACATATATACATACATACAAACAAACAAACATACAATCATACATAATAGCACGTATGAAGCTTTG